CGAGGGACTTTGTCCTTCGAACCTGGTGGGCGTCCTCTTTTCAATTGAGGTACAGCCGTTTCTGCTGCCGGCGGATTGCATCCATCTTTGGGGATGTCAATCCTAGCTGGCGTGTTGACAGCAGGGACGTGTGATCTGACAATCTTCTGGTTATCAGTGAATTTATCCGGAAGTAAATGTACTGTATTCTGAAGATGAAGAATCTTCAGGATCTCATCTTCACATTGACTAGTACGCGGATCATAATGAGACAAAGTCTTGGTGTTCCAAGAAATGGTCTTAGAAGCGTCAGGCTTCCTGGACTGTGTGCCAAGTTTAGGAAATGAATCCTCAACAAATTCACAATCATCAAGACGTGCTTTAAATGCGTCACCCGTCTGGGGTTCAAGGTATCTTATTATAGAGGGCGAATCAAACCCTATATAGATACCCAAACGACGCTGTGGACCCATTTTGGTCCTTTGTGGAGGAGCAATTGGGACGTAAACTGCACAACCAAACACTCTCAAATGTGAGATATTCGGAGGTGCACCATAAGCAAGCTGCATTGGTGACAAAATATGGCCACCAGAGGGTCGTATTCTGATAAGCGAAGCGGCATGCAATATGGCATGACCCCAAGCCTCAACAGGCAACTGTGATTGCATCAACAATGGACGAGCAATCCATTGCAATCTCTTAATTAGAGATTCTGCTAACCCGTTCTGGGTGTGAACATGTGCTACAGGATGTTCAACTTCGATGCCAGTTGCTAGGCAATAGTCTTGAAAGACTTGTGAAGTGAATTCTCCCGCATTATCAAGACGTAATTTCTTGATTTGATTATCGGGGAAATGAGCCCGCAACTTAATAATTTGTGCCAATAGCTTTGAAAAAGCTAAGTTGCGGGTGGACAAAAGGCACACGTAAGACCACTTGGTTGATGCATCTATAAGTACCATAAAGTATCTAAATGGTCCACTTGCGGGGTGAATAGGCCCACAAATATCGCCATGTATTCTCTCCAAGAAGCTAGGAGACTCTAATCCCACTTTCAGAAGGGAAGGTCTCGTGATCAGTTTACCTTGAAAACAAGATAGACATGAGTAATCACTCTTCTGAAGAATCTTCAGGTTCTTCAGGTTGTGTCCACTTGATTGGCTCATGATGCGGTGCATCATTGCTGATCCTGGGTGACCCAGTCTGTTATGCCAAAGTTTAAATTTCGTCGAAGAATGGCACTTCTGGTGCACAATCATGTTAGCTTCTACTGGTTGAATATATGTATGATAGAGACCCGACGGGAGTCCCTTGAATCGTTCTAAGATAGTTTTTGAACCATCTTTTTGACGAGTTACATACAAATACTCATCCTCATTTATTTCATTGGTTTCTAAGTGATATCCGTTTAAACGAATATCCTTGAAACTTATGAGGTTTCTATTAGATTTCGGAGAGAATAATGCATCTTTTATTATTAGTCTCGTTTTATTTGGGAGCAATATCATTGCTTCACCAAATCCTTCTATTATATTAGATAGTCCTGAAATCGTAATTACAGGATCGTCATAATCATATAAGCTATTGAAATAGCTTCTTTCGCGAAGGATTGTGTGCGTCGAGGCACTGTCCACAAGGCACTCACACTTCATCTATAACATGAATGCAATATTTTAATCTAAAGAAAATAACTATCTTTATTGAAAAGTAAATTGCATTACATGGAAAGTAAAGAACTAAAGATGAAAGTACTATGAGAATTTAAATGCATATAAAGATAACATGGATCTAGTCGAGAAGATCATCCATTTCGAAGTCATCAGCAGTGAACTGAGTAGATGGCTGCTTTTCCACCAGATTTGTTTCAACGGGAGACTTCTGGCTCGCTAGATACAGATCTTGGAGGTGTCGCGGAGTGCGACAGTTTCTGGACCAATGTCCAGTCATGCCACATCTGTGGCATTTGTCCTCCCAAGTGTTCTTGGGAATGGACGACAGCTCAGTGGTCTTCTTCTTCCACTTCTTCTTTCCCTCACTATTGCTGCTCTGGGGCGGGTTGTTTTTCTGGGGTGGACATCTGGCCTGCCACTTAGGGGCTTTCCCCTTGTTGAATTTACCCTTATGCTTTTTCTTCTGCTTCTGGGAAGAAAACATGTGAGCTTCGGGTAGAGGAGCTGAGCCTGCAGGGCGTAGGTTATGAGTGGCCAAAAGCAATTCTCTGTTTTGCTCCGCCATCAGAAGGGTGGAGTGCAATTCAGAATACTTTTTGAACTTTCGTTCGCGGTACTGTTGCATGAGGATTGCATCCTTCTCGTGGAAGGATGTGTAAGTCTTCTCCAACATGCGTTCCTCCGAAACTTCTTCACCACACAACTTCAGGCGTGAGGTGATATTATGAAGTGCTGAGTTATACTCAGCTACGGACTTAAAGTCCTGAAGTCGGAGGTTTTCCCACTCATAACGTGCACGTGGGAGGATTACATCTTTCTGATGTTTATATTGGTCCTCAAGTGCAGTCCACAATTCCTTTGGGTCCTCTACAGTCAGGTATTCGGCCTTCAGGGTCCGATCAATATGTCTCCTGATGTAGATAATGGCTTTCGTCTTATCTATATCAGAGACGATCACTGTAGTAGCAACCTCAGCATTATTTACAGCATTACCCGTAACAGTGGCCGGAGCCGGTGGAGCAGGAGTTGAAATTGTGGCTAATAAGCCCTGGGCACGTAAGTGGAACTTCAGGTCCACATGCCAACTCAAATAATTCTTGCCAGCAGCGTCAAGGACTTCGAAATCAACGCTCGCTATTTTAGCCATTTTATCTATGCATTTGAAAGACATGAATTAATAATAAGGAATTAAAAATTCATGCAATAAACATGTTGCGTGGATCAGCCCGTCACCAAAAAAATAAAAAGTGTCCAAAGTCCGATTATACAGACCAAAGATAACAAAAATTATAAAATTAAAATACAATTTGGAAAACCCTTGGGGGTCCCTGTATTTTGCAAAAATGCCTTCGTCTTCAATGGAATACACCGGTCTTTGACTTTTTACAATTATATCCTCACTACAATTTCTCTCTCAGAAGGAAAAGAAAATGCAAGGAATTTAAATTTGGTGACAAACAGGCTGATCCAAAAACCACAACATTATTTATTTAAACATCCACGCAATTTAATAATAATATATGCAACAGGCATAACAAATTTGGACAGTAAACCCTTGCTTTCTTTGGATTTTTTTTTCTAGACTTCTTTTTGTTTCTATGCGATACTGCCTACTTAATACTTTTAATATCATGTCAACATGAGCACATAAACATTTCTGTTTTTTATTTTATTTTTTTTGAATAGCAATTAACTAATAGTATTAATTACTAGTTATGCCAATAAATAATGAAAGCAATTAGATTAGATGAACAACAATAAAATTCCTTAATAAACTAAAAAATTCCCGAGTGAACAGTAACCCTCGGTGAACAGTAACAATTTTTTTTTTAAATTTTCCAGTTGTCATATATTATTCTACGGATTATAGTAATTACCTCTAGATCAAAGATCTAGGGACGATCGATACTAAAGATCCGTAGAACGCTGCCTCCTTGCGATGATCCGTCGAACGCTCCCGCTACAACGAACCAGATCTCAATGCGCAAAAGAGGAAGGAAATATATATATTTTTTATGGCTCAGGGATTCAAGAACACTTCGTGCTGATAACGTGTTTGAAACTCTTACATAGGCCAAAGGCCTATGATGTATATTTATAGATAGTCAATGTGAATAGGTTGAGTACCCAAGAGTCACCCCCACTTAATGGGGTGTTACACCATCATAATGGGGTGTGAATGGAGGGATAATGAGGGGGAGGCCAAAGGCCTCCCTCATCTCATAATAAGAATTTATTTTCTTCATTAATAATAATAGTTTTTTTTTCCATATTGGTCCCTTACATCATTGATATTTTGAAATTATACATTCAAATTACTAATTAATCTTAAATCAATAATATTTTAAGACTTTAAACATCACTATTTCTCTAGAAGATAAAACATTAAATCTAACAAGATTTTACACATGGAAATATAAAAAAATTTAATATATTATGATAATTATAAACTTTTTATAACCATGTTATAGTAAATAAATAAACTTAAAGTGAATAATTAAATATTTGACCACGTACAATGCACGTGCATGCCACCTAGTACAACTTAAATGCAATAATTCATTTCTTTTCCTCTTTTCAAATTACGTTCTGCAGAAATTTCGTATCTTGTATACTTTGAAAGGCTGTACATTGAGCAATGCAAATGAGCTTGCTAATATATCTGCAAAACTTTTATATCTAGCTTAATACATGAGGGGCTACATTATGAAGCTCACTTGTGCTCAATGCAAATTTTTTTGATGGTTTAGGCTCAATGCATGTTAATATGGAAAAATAAATCATGTTTTATACTATATCCCTTGGGCCTTCATGTGGCTTCATCCTGTTCCATGCGTAATATTGGCACTATCAATAATTTTGTCAAAGAATTGTTCGGATTCTAAATTCTGTCAGTCAAAGTTCTCAGTTTTTTACAATTTTTTTCCAATAAAGTTTAGTTTTCATTTACTTTACTAAACAAACTTTAAATCAAAACGTATGCAAAATTTATTTGAATTTTTTTTATCTTAATCAAATTCTGTATGATATAATTCATTTTTATGGATTTCTAATTGCACTTTGCCGTAAATAATTTCTAGATATTAACATGGGCCCACATTCGATTTAACCGGAGAAAGAAGAACTGTCCTAATCAGCAAAAGGGAGGAGTCGTCTAAACTCTGAACCCGCGAGCGAAAAAGCAAACTTGGGTATCTGCGGCCCACAAGATCCACCGTTGAATCCTCGCAAAATAAAAAATCCAACGGTCCGTGTCAACTTATTTCTGTACGCCAGCCCGCATAACTTAATTTCCCAAATTGCCCCCCGCCCATCCTCCTCCTCCCGCTCCA